TCTCTACAATGAGTATATAACCCGAGTATGCAGAGATTTCGATACTGTGTACTGCCCTAGTACTTGGGGCATATCCTAGTGCGGACGCTGTGAAATGATAGAATGCTGGCACAAGAGAGGGTTTGATTAATTTTTTTTTTTTTTTTTTTTTTCAAAAGTTGGCCGTCTCCCACCGAGGCAGGGTGACCCAAAAAAAAGAAAGAAAATCCCCAAAAAGAAAACACTTTCATCATCATTCAACACTTTCACCACATGCACACATTATCACTGCTTTTGCAGAGGTGCTCAGAATACAACAGTTTAGAAGCATATACATATAAAGATACACAACATATCCCTCCAAACTGCCAATATCCCAAACACCTCCTTTAAAGTGCAGGCATTGTACTTCCCATTTCCAGGACTCAAGTCCGACTATATGAAAAAAACCGGTTTCCCTGAATCCCTTCACTAAATATTACCCTGCTCACACTCCAACAGATCGTCAGGTCCCAAGTATCATTCGTCTCCATTCACTCCTATCTAACACGCTCATGCACGCTTTGCTGGGAAGTCCAAGCCCCTCGCCCACCAAAACCTCCTTTACCCCCTCTTTCCAACCCCTTTTGAGGACAACCCCTACCCCTCTTTCCTTCCCCATAGATTATATGCTTTCCATATTAAATTGTATTGAGATGAGTAATCAGAAAAACAGTGGCTCCCCGCATAACGGGTTACCTCCGAATGCACCAATTATGTAAGTGTATTTATGTAAGTGTGTTTGTACTGTAGTTTGGGGGTCCGAAATGGACTAATCTACTTTACAATATTCCTTATGGGAATAAATTCGGTCAGTACTGCACCCGAACATACTTATGGAGTGAAAAAATATCGTTAACCGGGGGCCACTGTAATGTGAAAGACATTAATGCAACTCCCAGTGCGCGTCTGTCGTTTGGGGTGGGTGTTGCCCAAACCCCCGAATGGTTTCAATGATTATTGTTATATATAATGTATATTATCTTTATATAATTTTATATTGCTTTATTGCGATAATAGCTAAATCGTAAATATATTGCTTTTTATTCTTATTTGACTTTTGTTGTTAGGAAAGTACATAATATGTCTCAGTTCAAGTTTATTGTCAAACTAATGTAATTATCGCTTGTCGCTCGTTATACTTTCCGGCTTTGAGCTGTGCTGTCCACGGGGCTATCACGTGTCGAGGGGGGGTGTCCCACCTTCTGTAATATTCAGTCTGTCTAGACTCACTTGGTGGGCGGACAGATGTCTGTCTCATTATTTTGTTAGTTCTGTAGAACTCTGTTCACAGAACTTGTATAACTTAGTGAATTTTCGAAAGTTGTACTGAGGTTGTGTTCATATAGACACTCTGAGCATCTCAGGTCCCGAGCTGTAGCTTATGACCTAATTTGTACTGGTTTTCTGTGTATTGTAAAAGTCAGGGTTTTTTCCTATGCTGAACTTAGATTCAGTAGTATGGGGATTTTGTAACTTTTGTGGAGGATCTGCTGATGGTCCCTACTTAGTGTCGTTATTTATCTCCTTGATCCTGATTGTGTCGCAGTCGCTTGTTATATGGCTATTGGGCTTAGCATTCTTTTCATTGTTCAAGCAGACCCGTTCTGGTTGCCAGTCGGTCAAGAAGTTAGTTTAGAGAGGACTTTGTCAGTCACTTGTTTAAGTCTAGTCGAGTCGTGAGACATAGCGAAAATATTAGAGCACTTACACACATACACAAACTTACTTGTACATATTTGTAATATCTTATTAACCCTTTGACTGTTTCAGGGCCCTCTCTGAAACTGTCATTCTATGTCGCCAAATATTCGAAAAAAAAAAAAAATTATTTTTTCTTATGAAAATGTTAGGAATATTTTTACTAGTGTTTTAAGCCTAAAAAAAATTTTTGCCATCAGTACTTACCGAGATATAGAGCCGCAAAGTTTGCAGAAATCGACGTGCGTATGGCAACAGCGGCGACTGCCGCCCACCCGGTATTCTTTTATTTCCTCTAATTCAAAGGTTTCTTGCATTTTTCAATATTTTTTTTTTCCAGGTAACTTATGTGGCCTGTGAGACCAATGTAAGGTGCATTGTTCAAATATACACTCATTATTTACAACACAATAACAGAACAAACTTTATCACTATTAGTTTGTGTATACACTTTGTTTACACAAACAAACAATACAAAACAATGTTTATTACTATTGTTCCATAATATATATACATATGTACAGTCACTAAGCACGTTCCTAGAACTGCTGCAGCTTGTGGAACTCTTTGAAACATGGGTATATGCAGAGGGGCACTTCACACTCCTCACACATAAAACGAGTGTCTCTGCGTGTTTGTGGGCGTTTTGTGGTATGCATACATACATAACACCTCTTCTGAGCATTTTTCTTGGCAGTAGTAGGAGGCAGTTGTATGGGGTAGTGATCACCAGGCCTCAAACGAGATGACGTCTGTGGGCGCTGGTCTATTGCAGGAGTTGCTCCTTTGTACTTTGCAATTATTTGTCTGATTACTGACAGGCAAAATTCACCATATTTTGGTGTTTTGTTTGTCTTCAACTTGTATATGTTATAAGCATTTAGCATAGAGATATCAACAAGATGGAAAAAAAGTTTGATATACCACTTATAACTCTTGCGTACACAGTCTGCAAACCCAATCTGCATGTCACATTTGTCCACTAAGCGCATATTGAGGTTGTAGTCCATGACAGCTGCAGGCTTTAGAATGGGTTCATTGGTCTCTCTGTTGTCCCTGCCACTGGGTACCATTTCGTTTGTGTGAACTGATGTCAACAATGTGACATCACGTTTGTCATGCCACCGAAATGCCATGATGTCATTGGCAGCAAAGCTTGCACCTCACCTCTGCGAGTGCCACGTCGAACCTTGGCATATGTTTGCGATTACCACGCACTGTGCCACACACGTCTGTCAAGTTCACTCGCAAGAAATCACTGAGTAAGGGCTTGTGTACCAGTTATCAGTAAATAACATATGCCCCTTACCAAGATATGGTTCCATCATTGTTCGAACCACATCACCAGAGATATCCAATAACTTCATGGTATCTCTCAAAGTATTACTGCCAGTGTACACAATAATATCTAAAACAAGAGCACTTCTGCAATCACACAGTACAAATAGCTTTATACCAAAGCGTTTCCTCTTGCTTGGTATATATTGCTTGAATGAGAGTCTTCCTTTGAATAAAATCAAGGACGACCAAATAGTTTCCTCTTTTGTCCTGGTACAGGCGAAGGTGAATGTGAACAAGCCGGCACAGCACCAGAGGTCGAAGGTTGTGGGTCATCTGGGTTTTCGTCACTATTTACGTTATCCTGGGCACTTTTTTTCGGTAACACTCACTTGAAAACCCTTGAATTCACTGTCACTGACATTTTTCATCGCTGTTAGAGCTATCACTTGGGAACAAAAGACCTCCAATCCGCCGAGGAGTGAGGAACTTCTTACCGAGAGGCATGGTGAAATGGACTGACAACATGGCGTTCCCACAATGCACCGCTAGGTCCCAGATTTTTTTCACAGGGTGCACACCGACCACTGAACCCATTCCTCCCGTGTAGGCCTACCAGGCCTTTGGCGCGCGATTTGAAGCCGCTAGAATTTGTGCGTATAAAACGTCAGAAACATTGGCTCGTAAGACGTATTTATACGTCGGAAACAGTCAAAGGGTTAAATGTTAATGTACCAGACGGTACTTAAGAATTATAAATGTGATATGTGCTTTCAGCACAATAATATTGAACTCGAGAGATTGATTTTATTTTGATTGCTGTGATTAATTTAATTTGATAATATACCTTTAGACTTAATAAATTTATTAAATTTTAATTTCTCTAGTTAGTAGCCTACCAGTTGTAATCCTGAAGCAATATTGAATAATACTGAATTTTAATGGATAATTGGACAAGGATACTGACTACTTGTTACGAAAACCCAGTAACAGGCTGGATGCTAGAAGGGCAGTCCTTTCTAGTATTCACTGGAGATCTCTAAGCTTTTAGAATCGCGTTTTTTGTAACATCCTTTCCCTTGGAACAGCATATGACACACTACCAGACCACAGGCTACGTTGTATATACTGCCACTTCACTGGGAAATATTCACCCTCACTGTCGCAACTAGAACTGCTTTCACTAGCTTTGAAATTACTATCACTATCACTTTCACTGCTCACATCTGAGTCTTGTACACAGGCAAATAGTTTCCTCTTTTGTCCTGGTACAGGTGAACGTGAACGAGCCGGCCCAGCACCAGAGGTGGAAGGTCGTGGGTCATCTGGGTTTTCATCACTAATTATGTTATCCTGGGCACTGTTTTCAGTCACACCCGCTTGAAAACCATGGAATTCTCTTTCACTGACACTTCCATCACTGTTAGAGTTATCACCTGGGAACAAAAGACCTCCAATCTGCCGAGGAGTGAGGTACTTCTTACTGCAAGGCATGGTGAAAATGGACTACCAAGATGGCATTCCCACAATGCATTACTGAGTCCCAGATTTTTTTCACAGGGTGCACACCCACCACTCAGACCCATTCTCTCTCATGTAGGCCTACCAGCTTTCTCCCACTTGATTTGAAGCCGCTAGAATTTACGCGTATAAATACGTCAGAAACAGTGGCGCGTTAAGACAGTTGAATTCACTGACTAAAAGCTTCTATCCTATTTTAGCCCATTCTAAAGCACATCCAGCAAGAAGAAGCCCATATGAGTCGGCTATCATCCAGGTTTATACATACTAAGGGTAAAGGGACAACAAGTGTAAGGAGACTGACCAATTACAACTGCACCCATTTGGGATCAGGTCCAAGTTCTTCGGGTGAGAGCCAAAGTTGCTACCACTGAACTACAAGCCACTATCTTGGCAACAGTATTACTTCATATAATCTGACATTATATTGGTTAACCAGGTGTCTAAGATCATGAACACAATCATTTTACTTCCCGTTGAACGTTAAGAGGTGCTGAAGTTGCAGAGTTTTTCATCATTTGGGTCTCATGTCCTGTATACCCCAAACCAGGCCAAACACCCAGTTGGTTTTTTGTAATTTAGCTCCACCAGCAGCACTTGGTCTGGGCTCAAAGGAATGGCTCTGTTCAGGGAATATCACAGTGACTACCTCGACACTTGTATGATGTTCTTTTTTGTATACAGAACATATAGCCTTGAGAAAATAACTTAATGACAATTTCTAGCTATGGAAAGCTTGCCTAACTTTTTCATAAAATAATGCTTCACTAACCTTCATATTGCACTCGTACTCTATGTATTAAAAAAATAAGAAATATAAATTTTTTCTATACACTATACCATACATTTTTAAGTAAAAAAAGAAAAGTAAAATTTTAACTTTTTCTCTTTAGACAACATAAACATTCCTCCTTCATCCCTTTGCTTATCTGCTACTAAACAGTTTGACATTTCAAGGGGCCAACAGGCCTGCTGCAGTGTTCCTTGATTCTTCTGTTCTATTTTTTTAATTCTCCAGTTTTCAGTAAATTACCTGTAACACTTAATAAAAGTAATATCTATTAGCAAATTATTATTACTTTTGCCTTTACATGCTGAAATAAAAAAATAAAAAGTCAGCAAGACTTACGGCCGACTTAGCTCCTTCAGGTTGCCAGTAACTGGTAAAAAGAAATCTATTAGGTGCTTCACATTCAACTTTGCCTGATAAATTCATAAGATCTCGAGCCTCCAAGAGGTGCGCTGTCTGGGTGGGCCTTTGACAAATTTTTCAGGTTGGTTTCGCCATCTAGGTTGGCAGTTTCAACATAGCATAGCGCCTGGGGTTCACTAGGGAAAACATTCATTTCTCATTAAAGAAGAAAAGATGATTAATTCAATAAATCTGTAGAAACATAAATAAAGAAATTTTAGTGTACAGGGGCATGCATTGTAAAGCTACCAAGTAACCTACATATGCTGCATCAAAATATATGCTTCAGTTTAACAATGCAACTTCACAAAAATAATTGATCACGACTGTATAATAAATGAGGAGGGAAGCCAGATCTTTGTTAGGTTAGGATGTGGTTTTAGGTTGATTTCCAGTTTAGATCCCCAAGCACTTATTCTTTAAGTGAAAAAAGAATACATTAGAGTAACACAGAGTAATCATGTTTGAGGTACACTGTAAAATATCTTAGAATGTCCATTTTTTTTGGAAAGCTTCTTAGAAATTGTTGGATGTGAGCACTGAATTTTTGTTTGTTGTCAATGTGTATACCTAAAAAATTTAACCTTATTTTATCTTTCAATGTGTGCTTTATTTACTGAATATTTTTAGCTTTGTTCCCAACCACTATTTACAAGGTCCCTTTTCAAAACCAATGTGATTTTTTTGGGTTTCTATCCAAGCAGATATCTTTATGAGCTTCTCTTAGCAAATTTAGTTCAGCCAGAATTTAATTTATATAGCCTTATGCCTGGATGAATAACTTTTTGCTCTTTCTTTGAGTAATAAATCCCAATCATTATTTTTTTGTCAATGAGCCAAGGATGTTGTTGGTTGCCATGGACTATTTTGTCTCACTGGTGTGACCCATCTGGTTTTAAAAGGATAATCATAATTAAAAACTATTGAATTTTTAGTAGAAATTTTTTAGACACGAGTTAACGTCTGGATCATTGCTAAATCTGTTTGCCAGTCAGTGATCCTGACTGCTATGGTCAAGTTATTCACTTATGCCTCATCATTGAGGCACCAATATAGTAACAGTCAGCTGTATTGTTGATGTGGTAATGATCATTTGTATTGTTGGTGATAATGACAGCTTCTAGAGGAGCTTTTGTATGTGTTCAGATGTGATTAGGTGAAGAAAAAATAAAAATTTCAGTTTTTTCTTCTATTTTGGTTTGCTCTGCCTTGGTGGGAGACAGTTGCTGTGGTTAAAAAAAGAATATGGTTTAGGACATCAGTTACTTATGGGCCATGTGATTGAATGAGGTTGATGTTCAAGTCTCTATCAATTATTAATGGATATTCAATTAGTTTATCGCTTATTATTAACCCTTAAACTGTCCAAACGCAGATCTACGTTTATGCGCGTAGCACAATGAACTTTCTATTTACGTGCTTTCTTATGTAAAAAAACGTAGATCTATGTTTGGAGTGCTATGCACGTGAACGTAGATCTACGTTTGGAACAATTTAAGGGTTAAAGATAGAAAATTGAAGGTGAACATAGATAAGAGTAGGGTGATGAGCATCAAATGATTTAGATAAAGAAAAATTGGATATCACATTAGAGGGAGGGAGTATGAAAGAAGTGAATGTTTTCAGATATCTGAAGTTGATTTGTCAGTGGATGGGTTTATGAAGGATGAGATTAACCACAGAGGCAAAAAGAATGTACACTCTTATATGGGTATGAAGCATGGGTTGTAAATGCTGCAGCGAGGAGGCAGCTGGAGGCAGTGGAGATGTCCTGTCTAAGGGCAATGTGTGAAGTAAATATTATGCAGAGAATTCATAGTGTGGAAATTAAGAGTAGGAAAGAAAGACAAGGTAGGGGTCGTTCTTGAAAAAGTTGGAGGGAGGGGGTAAAGGAGGTTTTGTGGGCAAGGGCTTGGGCTTCCAGCAAGTGTGCATCAGTGTGTTAGATAGGAGTGAAGAGACAAATAGTTTTAAGGACCTATCGAGAATGTTGGAGTATGAGCAAGGTAATATTTTGTGAAGGGATTCAAGGAAACCAGTTAGCCAGACTTGAATCATGGAAATGGGAAGTACAATGCCTGCACTTTAAAGGAGGGGGTTTGGGATATTGCAATTTGGAGGGACATCTAAACTGTCGTATCTGAGCGCCTCTGCAAAGACAATGATTATGTATGAGTGATGGTGAAAGTGTTGAATGATGATGCAACTTTTTTTTATTCTTTTTGGGTTTGTCTTTCTTTTTGGTCACTCTGCCTCGGTAGGAAACGCTGACATGTAAAAAAAAAAAAAAAAAAAAAAAAAAAAAAAAAAAAAAAAAAAAAAAAAAAAAAAAGTCTTTCAGATTATCACCAAAGATTTGTATGTTATGTGATAATCTGTAAACAGCTCCCATTGTGACTGGGGGACTAAGTTTTTGGATGTAAATTGTGCAAATGTGTATTCCTAAGTTTGTTTCTGGTGCAGGTTGAAATAATACACAACACATTTCAATTTCAACTTCCCTTTTAATCAGTCCTACAGCAATGAATGGTTGTGTACCCAGATAAGTTATAGTTGCTTATAATATCAGGTTTTACCCAGATTCCTTTTAAAATATTCAAAGTTAAGTTTGCATTTAGTGACACTAGGAACACAAAGTGCCTACTGTACTTCAAGATCTGGCATTGTAGTTAAATAATGAGATGCTGTTGGTGTTACTGAAGATAGTTAAAGCTAGGCTAGCTGTATAATATTTGCTGTCTTGGTATGTAGTGAAGAGATTATTACAGAGATCAGTTCAGGATCAATATTAGCATTCTCGGACTGTAATATGACAATAAGGAATTAACATTAAGGTACTTAGTTATCCAAAGAATTTGGCCAGAGAGTCTAGCCTTAATGTACTTACTTCACCTGTGCTCTTCAATGTGGCCATTTTTACTAATACTGTAGGGCCCCCGCTTTTCGGCGTTTTGCCTTATTGTGTTCCGCTAATACGGTGATCTCAAATTATGATCAAAACTTTCTATACGGCAAGTGGTCTTTCAAATACGGCACGTGCCACCCAGTTTGTTTATATTCTCCATGAGCACATCTCTATTATGTAATAATAATCACTCTTGGGCACAGTAAATGTCTAGTTTTACGTAAATATAAACTTTTTTTTTTTTTTTATTTTTTTTTTTTCAAAAGTCGGCGTCTCCCGGGGCAGGGTGACCCTAAAAGAAAGAAAATCCCAAAAGAAAATACTTCATATCATTCAACACTTTCACCACACTCGCACATTATCACTGTTTTTGCAGAGGTGCCCAGAATACAACAGTCTAGAAGCATAAACATATAAAGATACACAACATATCCCTCCAAACTGCCAATATAACCCCTTTTCCTGTAAAGATTACTAAAAAGAATAAATTTGTAAATATAAACATTTTCATTAATCCATCTATGATATTTTCTTGAAAATTATATAAGAAACATGTTATATAGCATATAAACATACTGTTTATATCTTGGAGGTGTGGTTGCTGAGGTGGAGGGAAAACATTACATAATACTATAATAACATACCCTTAAGCACATTAATGTCCTATTTTCGTAATATAGACATTTTCCTTGAATCCATTATTATTTTTCCTTTCAAAGTTATATAAGAAACATGTACATGCATAAAACATTTTAGGTTTATATACTATGGAGGTTAAGTACCAGGTAGGGGAAACATTACGTACTCCCCTTAATAATAACACTTTGTTTACATTCTCGGCTTGAATTATCATTACTTTTCTTGTTTATGACAGAATCTAAAGGTAGTTGTTAGAAACAATTACACCAGTGAACATGTATGTCATGGTAAAATATGGCTCTGCGCATTAAATACGTGTAGTATTGGTAGGTGTAGGTACAGTAGCCCAGGTGGACTACATACCTACATATTGTAACGTAATTATACATATGAGTAGTGTACCAAGTATGCCTTTCACCATGCATATTCTCAAAAATAATGTTACTTGAGAATGGGAGTGTTTCTCTTTATTTATTCTACTGTATCAACGTGGAGACAACCCATACACAACGTAAAGTGACGAAAACCAGACGCGTTTGTCTGGTTTGTTTACATTACGTGTGGGTGGGGTGGGGAGGGCTGCCCTTCCTGGCTACCCATACTTCCTAACCTGACTTCCTAAAAATAAAACTCACCTCTCACCCTACATTAAGACTACAAATATTTTAAGGTAATTAATGAATGTGCTGTAAATATATTTTATCACTCTGGGGAGCTTTAATTAAATATCGTAGTACATTACGTGTGGGTGGGGTGGGGAGGGCTTCCCTGGCTGGATTCCATACTTCCCAAACCTGACTTCCTACAAATAAAACTCACCTCTCACTCAACATTAAGACTACAAACATTTTAAGGTAATTACTGAATGTACTGTACATATATTTTATCGCTCTGGGGAGCTTTAATTAAATGTAGTATATTATGTGTGGGTGGGGTGGGCTGACCTGGCTGGCTACCATACCTCCCAAACCTGACTTCCTACAAATTAAACTCACCTCTCACCCTACATTAAGACTACAAATATTTTAAGGTAAGTAATGGGTGTACTGTGCATGTATTTTACTTTTTAATGTTTTTAATGCCTAGTTATATTGCCAACGTAATATATGTTAGTGTAAACTTGTTACCTGACATTTATATGCATTTATAAGTGGAAAAAATGGCGTTCTGCTTTCCGGCGATGTCTGCTTTCCAGCAGCAGCCTGGAGCCTAACCTCCCGAATAAGTGGGGCCCTACTGTACTATTAAGTTTCCAGCTCTCAATATCAAATTTTATATGTAAAAAAAACAAAAAACAGACATAGGTAAGGAACAATGTACTTATAATGTACATAGTAACACTTTACAAGTTTCATATTACTTTATCTACCTTAAGTACCTGATGCACACCCAGTAATTGTAAGCAGACAACTTTTTAATCAATATTAAAAATAAGCAACTGATTAAAGTTGTTAAGCCCCCAATTGGCAGAGGATAATTAAGGATAAAATAAACTGTATGTACCTAACACTAGAGCTAAATTTGTTCAAATTTACCTGGATGCTAATAAGACCAGATCTGCAGGGAAGAACTTGTTGTTATGGACCTTAACAATATCGCCAACTTGAATGTGTCGCCACTTGATCCACTGCCACTGACCATCTTTAAGAACTTCAATTTCACGTTTATTTAATTCATCGTCTGCTCTATGACGTTTCTGAAAAAAAAATGAAAGCAGGTCTGCCAAAAGTATAAAACCTATCCCCACTGAAAAGAAACAAGAGAGAAAGTGCAATGACATCCAGGAATGTGGAAGATTATATCAACAGAAGGAGAGGTTGATACAGTGTGAGGAGTACTCAAGTGGGAGACACAATGCTGCTGTAAGGTACATGGTAATATTCATTCAGGTCAACATCCCTGGGTGTTAGTTGAATGCTGTGGGTTAATTCCCAAGGGTTGTTAGTACCCTGGATAGGGATGGGCTTTGCAATGAATTGATGGTAGGCAGGCAGAGGTTGATAAAGAATTGTAGATAATATTTACTCTCTTGTTGTTGCAGTCTCCCACTGCCCACATTTGATGCACGTAAACTCTCCTTCCCACCTCTGCTTGCCTTCCTCCATCCCTGCCAACTCAGTTCCAACATACCCTCCATTTCCCTGTCTTGTCTTTGGGCTGAGGCCCATCCATGGACACCAACCATCATACACATATCGTATCAAATTTTTCATCACAACTCAAAACTAAATTCCTTTATGAGTACTGTAAATCATACCTCAACATTATCATGACTGATGCCCATTGTAACTTAAGGGAAAACTGTATATGAAAGTCAAGAGTGTATTTGCAAGGATTATAAAAACATTAGCTGACATCTCTTCTCAGAATACTAGTAAAGACTTTCTTATCTGACCTCTCCGAATTAGCAAACACTTTGCATGAAGCCTATGACCACCCCAATATAGAAACCAGGAATTATGACTATGTTTAACCCTTTGACTGTCGCGGCCGTATATATACGTCTTACAAGGTACCGTGTTTGACGTAGGAGTGAGGAAGAGCCAGTTGTGAGTGTGGGGGAAGTTCGTGAGGCAGTAGGTAAAATGAAAGGGGGTAAGGCAGCCGGGATTGATGGGATAAAGATAGAAATGTTAAAAGCAGGTGGGGATATAGTTTTGGAGTGGTTGGTGCAATTATTTAATAAATGTATGGAAGAGGGTAAGGTACCTAGGGATTGGCAGAGAGCATGCATAGTTCCTTTGTATAAAGGCAAAGGGGATAAAAGAGAGTGCCAAAAATTTTTAGGGGGATAAGTCTGTTGATGTACCTGGTAAAGTGTATGGTAGAGTTAAAATTTGGGAAAGAATTAAGAGTAAGACGGAAAATTTAGGATAGCAGATGAACAAGGAGGCTTTAGGAAAGGTTTAGGGGGTGTGTGGACCAGGTGTTTACAGTGAAACATATAAGTAAAACAGTATTTAGATAAGGCTAAAGAGGTCTTTGTGGCTTTTATGGTTTTTGGAAAAGGCGTATGACAGGGTGGATAGGGGGGCAATGTGGCAGATGTTTGCAAGTGTATGGTGTAGGGGGTTTAGGTTACTAAAAGCAGTGAAGGTTTTACGAGGATAGTGAGGCTCAAATTAGAGTATGTAGGAAAGAGGGAAATTTTTTCCCAGTAAAAGTAGGCCTTAGACAAGGATGTGTGATGTCACCGTGGTTTTTTAAATATATTTATAGATGGGGTTGTAAGAGAAGTAAATGCGAGGGTCTTGGCAAGAGGCGTGGAGTTAAAAGATAAAGAATCACACACAAAGTGGGAGTTGTCACGCTGCTCTTTGCTGATGACACTGTGCTCTTGGGGGGATTCTGAAGAGAAGTTGCAGAGATTGGTGGATGAATTTGGTAGGGTGTGCAAAAGAAGAAAATTAAAGGTGAATACAGGAAAGAGTAAGGTTATGAGGATAACAAAAAGATTTGGTGATGAAAGATTGAATATCAGATTGGAGGGAGAGAGTATGGAGGAGGTGAACATATTCAGATTTTTTGGGAGTGGGACGTTCAGCGGATGGGTCTATGAAAGATGAGGTGAATATAGAATTGATGAGGGAAAAAGAGTGAGTGGGTGCACTTAGGAGTCTGTGGAGACAAAGAACTTTGTCCTTGGAGGCAAAGAGGGGAATGTATGGAGGTATAGTTTTACCAACGCTCTTATATGGGTGTGAAGCGTGGGTGATGAATGTTGCAGCGAGGAGGAGGCTGGAGGCAGTGGAGATGTCATGTTGAGGGCAATGTGTGGTGTGAATATAATGCAGAGAATTCGTAGTTTGGAAGTTGGAGGAGGTGTGGGATTACCAAAACTGTTGTTCAGAGGGCTGAGGAAGGGTTGTTGAAAGGGGGTTTTGGACATGTAGAGAGAATGGAGCGAAACAGAATGACTTCAAGAGTGTTTTCAGTCTGTAGTGGAAGGAAGGCGGGGGGTAGGGTCGGCCTAGGAAGGGTTGGGGGGAGGGGGGTAAGGAGGTTTTGTGTGCGAGGGGCTTGGACTTCCAGCAGGCATGCGTGAGCGTGTTTGATAGGAGTGAATGGAGACAATGGTTTTGATACTTGAGTGCTGTTGGAGTGTGAGCAAAGTAACATTTATGAAGGGATTCAGGGAAACCGGCAGGCCGGACTTGAGTCCTGGAGATGGGAAGTACAGTGCCTGCACTCTGAAGGAGGGGTGTTAATGTTTTCAGTTTTAAAAACTGTAGTGTAAGCACCCTTTGGCAAGACAGTGATGGAGTGAATGGGTGGTGAAAGTTTTTCTTTTTTTGGGGCCCCCCTGCCTTGGTGGGGAATCGGCCGCTGTGATAAAAAAAAAAAAAAAAAAAAAAAAAAAAAAAAAAAAAAAAAAAAAATACTCAAAAAATTTCTAGCGGCTTCAATCAGCAGGGGGGAAGCGGGTAGGCCTACAGGTGAGAAAAGGGGTCTGTGTGGGCAGTGTGCACCATATAAAAAAAAAACCTGGGCACGCAGGCATAATGAGGAAAAAAAAAACTCCGACCGTTTTTTTTTAAAATTTTAAAAAACCCACTTTGAGGGCTATTTTCCCTATAGTATTTTTTGGTTGTATTTTCGTTTTTTGGTTTCCCTTTGTAGAATGGGGGACATTTTTATAGAAATAGAGATTTTTTGATTGATTTTTTCTTTTTAAAAAAAACCTAGAAATGGAGCTCAAAATAGGGGAAATGTTTTTATTTTTTCCAATTTTTTCAAAATAAACAAATGGGTGCCATTTTTCCCCTAAAAGTCCAACTAGCCCTTCTAATATGCAGTCTTTAATGGGGTTTATGTTTTTTATTTCAATTATTTCAGTATTTCAGTAGTCTCTAAAAGTAAATCTTCAATTTTTTTTTTTGAAAAAAAAAAAATTTAAAATAGAAAGCAAAAGTTAAAAACGGGGGCCCGGGAAAAACGGCTGATTTAGCCCAAAAAAAAAAAAGTTATTTTAGAGCCCCGGAATGTTCTGCATTGTTCTTCTGGAACCTTTTTTTGAAAATTGTCATATTTTTTTTTGTTTTTTGTGAAATTGGCCCAAAATTTTCAAAATTTTTGACCACATTATTAGGTAGTTGGAAAACGTAAATGGGGAGTTTTTTTTGTACTCAATGTTTGAAAAAAAAGGAGTTCCCAAAAAAATAAAACTATGAGTTTTTGCGAACCGGAACAATGGGAAATTTTGCCAAAAAAAGTTACTTTGCTCACCCTTTCCCAAAAGAAGGGCCAAATTTTTAAAAAACCTTCGTCCCCATTCATTCCTTTTCCAAAAACGCCTTTACGCACCCAGCTGGAAGTCCAAGCCCCTCGCACACAAAACCTCCTTTACTCCCTCCCTCCAACCTTTCCTAGGCCGACCCCTACCCCGCCTTCCTCCACTACAGACTGATACACTCTTGAAGTCATTCTGTTTCGCTCCATTCTCTCTACATGTCCGAACCACCTCAACAACCCTTCCTCAGCCCTCTGGACAACAGTTTTGGTAATCCCGCACCTCCTCCTAACTTCCAAACTATGAATTCTCTGCATTATATTCACACCACACATTGCCCTCAGACATGACATCTCCACTGCCTCCAGCCTTCTCCTCGCTGCAACATTCATCACCCATGCTTCACACCCATATAAGAGTGTTGGTAAAACTATACTCTCATACATTCCCCTCTTTGCCTCCAAGGACAAAGTTCTTTGTCTCCACAACTCCTAAGTGCACCACTCACCCTTTTCCCCTCATCAATTCTATGATTCACCTCATCCTTCATAGACCCATCTGCTGACACGTCCACTCCCAAATATCTGAATACATTCACCTCCTCCATACTCTCCCCCTCCAATCTGATATCCAATCTTTCATCACCTAATCTTTTTGTTATCCTCATAACCTTACTCTTTCCTGTATTCACTTTTAATTTTCTTCTTTTTGCACACCCTACCAAATTCATCCACCAATCTCTGCAACTTCTCTTCAGAATCTCCCAAGAGCACAGTGTCATCAGCAAAGAGCAACTGTGACAACTCCCACTTTATGTGTGATTCCTTATCTTTTAACTCCACGCCTCTTGTCAAGACCCTCGCATTTACTTCTCTTACAACCCCATCTATAAATATATTAAACAACCACGGTGACATCACACATCCCTGTCTAAGGCCTACTTTTACTGGGAAATAATTTCCCTCTTTCCTATGTACTCTAACTTGAGCCTCACTATCCTCGTAAAAACTCTTCACTGCTTTCAGTAACCTACCTCCTACACCATACACCTGCAACATCTGCCACATTGCCCCCCTATCCACCCTGTCATATGCCTTTTCCAAATCCATAAATGCCACAAAGACCTCTTTAGCCTTATCTAAATACTGTTCACTTATATGTGAACCACTCACCTTTTTTTCCTTCAACAATTCTATGGTTAACCTCAGCAGTCAACTCTCAAATATCTGATCAATGTTCTTCATTTCCCCAAACTAGAGTTTCCTTTCATGCTTCAATGAGTCTACTGCTTTGAGTCCTGTCATCTGTCACTTTTCGTACAAAGGGAGGACCTCTCTCAAGTTTTCATCTCCTCTCTCATAGAGGTATGTGTCTGGAGCATACTTCAAGTGCCAATGAGTAATGCTCTTGATGAAATTTAATGTTAAATTCACCCTCATGACTAAACGCGTTTCTCTGACCCAGGT